GGCGGCGACCCTCGGCCCTGGGCTCGGAGCCGCCCCCGAAGTGGGCGCGCGTTCTCCGCCGGGCTGGGGCCGCGAATGGAGCCAGTAAAATGACGAGCGGTGCCCGAACGCACTCACTCTGAGAACCGATTAGTGTGATTCAAATTTATGGGCGCCGTGGGTGTTTTTTTCTGGGCAGCGGCCCCGGAGCAGAAGAGTCGGGAGTTAGAACAGCGTCTTAACAGGGAACTGACCTAGTTTCATGTATCGAGAGGGCTCCCCTGAGACACTGTTTATTTAGCGAGTCCTTGTCCGGTGCGTCCTGCTCTGCTAGTTGTAACTCTTTGAAGCGTCAGAACAACCGTTGTTGCCCCCATTCCTCCAGCTGGGGAAGAGGGAGCACGGAGCTCAGTGGCAGCTCTGGGACGGAGGGACAGCTTCGGACGCTTGGAGGGCCTGGCTCCCTGACCCCAGGTCCCCGCCCAAATGCCACCTCATCCACCTGTGTTTTCAACAGCCAGCTGTGCTCTGGGGCTCAGCAGAGGGCAGGGCAGAGTCCCTACCCCGTAATGGGATGGGCAGTGGCGGCGGGGAGCCGCAGAGCTACAGAGAAGACCATTTCAGGCAGTAAGAACCAAAGAGACTACAGCAGGGTAGTGAGACCGTGACGAAAGTGATGGTTCCACTTCAGTTGGGGGGATGAGTCAGGGAAGGCCTCTGAGAAGGTGACAGCCGTGCAGAAATGTGCAAACGTCTTGAGGCCAGAGTTTGGTGTCTGGGGAGCAGGAAAGGCCTCGTTGGCTGGGGTGTGTGAGCAGAAAGAGGTCTGAGTGTCAGAGAGGGGCCACAATTGGAATATGGAGTTTGTTCTGTGCGGCACTAATGAGTCTGAATTGGGAGTGACCTGACCTGAGTTACATTTTAGAACGTTCTCTCCCGCTACTGTGTAGGGACTGGGCCATAGGAAGGACTAGACAGGGAGCCAGGAGACTAGCTAGGTGGCTCTGACAGTGGTTTGGGTGATGTAGATTACAAACCAGTTGCGTGAGTTGGCTCAGACAGTCATAATGAAATACCACAGACCTGGAGGCTGAAACAAGAAATTCGTTTTCTCACGATTCTGGAGGCTGGAAGTCCAAGGTCAAGGTGTTGGTAGGGTTGGTATCTGGTGAGAATACTCTCTTTGGCCAGTAGATGGTCACCTTCTTGCTCTCCTCACATGTCTTCTTCTCTGGGCACAAGCATTTCTCTTTTTATAAGGACACCCGTCATATTGGATTAGCCCCCCCCCACGACTTCATTTAACCTTAATTACCTCCACAAAAGCTCTATCTCCAGATAAAATCATGTTAGGGCTTCAACATGTAAATTTGGAGGGGATACCATTCAGTCCATAACACCAGGTAAGCCCTGTGACAAAAACATTCCAGGAGAGCTGGCAGGGTGGCTTTAGGGAAGGCCCCCCTGAGGAAGGGTTTTGCACATCACTCAGGTCTCAGCTCAGACGTCTCCTGGAGAGGCTGTCCCTGATGGCCACGTAAGATTGCTCGTTAACCCAGCCCCCTGCTCCCTCTTTACAGCACTCTTCACTGTCTAAAATGACCATGTTTAATTATTGGGGTACTTATTTGTGGTCTGCCTCCACCCCACTAGGACAGCAGAGAACCTTCCTGTTTTGTTCTCCATTCACAGCCCCTGGAATAGTGCCTCGCACTCCATAAACACTTCTCGAATGGATGTCCCTGGGAAATTTGGAGCTAAGAGCTGTAGGATGAACAAGAGGTAACAAACTGCAGGGGTTCATGGAGAGAGGAAACATTTCAAGTTGGAAGATGCTGAAAGGCCAGGGTGGCTGGACCACAGAGAGCTGGGTGGGGTCTCGGGGAGATGAGATCACAGATAAGCAAGGGTTAGGCCCTTAGCTTCTTGTAAACCTACACAAAGATGGGTGTTATTCTGCCAGCACAAGAAAAAACCCTGTGGGATTGTGTGAGTTTTCCATGGCTGCTGTAACAAATCACCACAGACTTAGTGGCTTAAGACCACACATATTTATTATCTTACAGTTTTGGAGATCTGAAGTCTGAAATGGGTCTCATTAGGCTAGAGCCAAGATGTGGGCAGGGCTGGTTCCTTCTGGAGGCTCTAAGAAAGAATCTGTTCCCTTGCCTTTCCCAGCTTCTAGGGGTCGCCTGCCTTCCTTGGCTGGTGGACGCTTCCATCATCTTCAAAGCCAGCAATGGTCGGTTAATCAAGCCTTTCTACCATGCATCACTCCAATTCTGCCTCTGACATCACGTCTCCTCTGACTGTCCTGCCTTCTTGTAATTACATTGAGCCCATCCAGATAATCCAGGATGATCTCCACATGTATATATGGAAGAGTTCTTATGGCCAGAACATTTGTATTTTAAAGAAGAGAAGAACAAGGCCTGTTCTTTTTAGATAGGTTTTGTTTTTCCTAAGGTATGTTGTATTTGTGACTTCAGTCTTCTTACTCACCTTGGATTCTCCACTCCCCTCCATGCTGTCCTGTCATTTCTCAAGTGAATAAGGAGGCAGTATATGAGTCTATTTTTAGTTACCTTGGTTTTCCCTTCAGCTGGGCACCAAACTGGGTATCTTAGTGAAAGAACCCATCTCCTAGCACTCATCTGGAAATCTGGGAGGGAGTTTTGGGCCATGGGGATCTCTGGACAGTGGCTCCTGCACCCAGGCAGTGACAGCAGTGGTAGTTCTGTTTCATGTGTAAAGTCCTCCAAGATTCTCAGCTGAAGCTGGCACATGCCCATGACAAAAGTGGTTTTTGTTTTATATATTCACATCCTAAGTCCCCTCAAAAAAAAAAAGATGTTCTATATCATTATAAATACCATACACTCTCACTCAAGCTCCTTCAAATAAATATAAAATCAATGTTATAGAATAAGTGTTTGTGTCCCCTCTCCCAAATTCATGTATTAGAAATTGTAACCCTCAATGTGATGTTATTAGGAGGTGGGGCCTTTGGGAGGTGCCTAGGTCATGAGGGTGGAGCCCTTATGAATGATATTAGTGCCCTTATAAAGGGAGGGAGATGATTTCTTTGCCCCTTATGTGAGGACACAAGAAGATGCCTATTTGCAGACCAGGAAGAGGGTCTCACCAGACACTAGATCATCTGGCACCTTGATCTCAGACTTCCCAGCCTTCAGGTCTGTGAGAAATAAATGTCTGCTGTTTAAGCACCCCGTCTGTGTTGTTCTGTAAGAGCAGCAGGAATGGGCTGAGACAGTGAACATCTAAGATACAAGCAGCTGGGCAGTAGGAGGCAGCACAATGGTGGAAGGAGAGAGACTTTGAGAAACATAGATTAAGTCCCAACTCACTCCTTACCCATCTGGATGGTGCTGGACCAGTTTCTTACATCTCAGTCTTGAGCTCATCTTTAAATGTGGCTAATAGTCCCTCTGCCATGGTGAGGATTAAATACCGTGTATGTAAGGTCCCCTGCACAGAGAATGTTCAGTAACCAGCAGTTACATTTCTCTAAAGGTGTTGACTAATGAATGAAATAAGCATAACCTTGGGGGTGGGAAGAGGTACTTGCAACCCACCCCACCCGTAGATACTGTGACGCATGCTCCCAAGCTCCCCTGGCAGTTACTGCTTTTGGAGAAACTGTTCCTGGAGGGCATGATGAAAGGGTGACAGATTTCTTAGGTGCTCTGAGGTGGAAAAATAACTTGAGAGTCACTGGCTTGAAAATGGAGCCTGAGAGAGAAACCCACAATCTCGAGGCCATTATCATGGCGTTACCTACAGAAATGGATTGCCCACAGGGCCAACCTCACATAAGAATGAATAATAAAAACGATCTGTTGCAGCTATTACATACCTGTGCCAGAAAAGGAAAACCCTCAATTTTATAGCAACTCAGAACATGAAAGGCATATGTTAAACGTTTTCAAATGACCCCATGATATTTTGACAAGCCACACGCATTGAACTTTGTCAGTGCTCTCTGCTGGAACCTAAATGTGCAGGTTAATGTTATTACATTCCTTCTTGAATAATCAAGTGAATTGAGTAATCGCTGTGGATCACCTGGGCTATACTTCTTCCAAATTATGCTTTGATGAAATGCTAATGTATAAGAAAGATACAAAAGATATTGACTGGACTCCTTTACTTGGCTTTGTAGGTACTATATGGATTATGCATTTGCTTCTTCTCCACTTTCTCTTGGTATTTATCTAATGCTATTCAGCTTTGAAAATGGCTTGCTAAAACTCTGCCCATGGGCTGGTTGCCTGAGCATCCATTTAAATGTGTAATGAACTGCAAGCTAGCTCCTAAACATTGATTGAGGCAAGAGAGCCCTAATTATGCCCTAATTATCCAAGGGGGAAGAAAGGGAGCAGATACATAAATAATTGGAGAAGTAATAAGACTTTATGTCTTCCTTGTCAGCATTTTTTCCAGGAATTCTTAGGCGCTCCCCTGAAGGAAGTAGTAGGAAAGCAGACCTTTGCTTTCTGAAGTGCTTTCCCTTGGTTCTCAGCCTGGATTTGATACTAAGTTTAGTGCCACAATGTATCTATCACACAGTTCCTTGCTTGTATTTGGGGGGACACATTTAATATTCAGAAAAAGAATTAATCCAATTCCTAGTAGCTTCTGGGGATAGAACATGAGAAATCAGGAGTACTCCCTCCCTAGACCCAAGTGCAATTCTTTCCGCTACTTCTTTCTGCCCCCAAAGTTGGAATACAAGTGTCCCTTTTCCATGTGTTCCGTCTTCCACTCCATGCCTATTCCCAGCTGGTCTTCCCTCCCCCTGTCCTGTGATTAATCCTGCCCATAATTTCTACTGCCTCCAGCCTCTGGAACTCAAGCCACCTGGAACTGGTCCTTCTGGAATCGTGGATGAGATCCAGGGAGCTCCATTCATCTGTTCAACAAATAGAAGTGCCAACTACATTCAGGGCAGTTTGCTGAATTCCAAAATCTACAGTCACGGTTCCTACGCTCAAGATGCTTAAAATGAAACTTGCTATTTGAAGATGTGGGTTTTGGAAACAGACAATAGAACAGGAAGGAGCATGGAGACCCCTGTAATGAACCAAAAACACAGATTAAGGGAATATATGATCTGTTGGACGTGGAGTCCAAGATCTTTGCCTTCGACATGTGAGATTGTCAGGATATGGGTAAATGAGAATTAACATGAAATCAGAAGAAAATTCACCACTGACTGCAGTTTAAGAGACGCTTACTGCCTCAATTAAAGGGAACTGCTGTCAGGCTCCTTTAATCCATGTAATCTACAATAGAGTGCCTTTTTTTTTTTTTATCGTGCTCAAGGATCATAAATTTTACTTGGTCTTTTATAGCCTTTGGCAGGGTGCCAAGGCTTATTAGGAAATTGCAGAAACCATAAATATAAAAAATGTACAAATTCTCCCTTGAGTAACTGCATGAATGTTTCCAAAAACATGCCCAAAGCCATTTTTCCCTTCTGTGAAGTTGTTATAAAATGTACTTAGCACAAACCTACATCTGCTCTAGGCTGATTTATAGCAGAAATTTAAATGAATATATTTTAAAGACATTTACGAAAAGAAATACATGTGAATAAATTCTAAATCAGAATCATGGTCATCTGCTTGTGCTATAAACTTTAAATATCAATTAAAAAAAAAAAAAAACCCTGAGCCAGCTCTACTCCATCACATTCAGCACCCAACCTTCAAGCATGATATTTAAGACATGTGTGTTCACTAGAAGAGCTATTTCTAGGAACACACACTGCTACAGGTGCATATGTGCAGAGAGCCAAATATCCCTGTATGTGTGTGCGTGCACGTGTGTGCATGTGCGTGATGTTGCAACCAAAAAAATTCATATGTTTCACATAAACTTATTATGGGATGGATTTAAATCTCTTGTTTCTTTTCTAGACTAAACATACCTATCTAGGCTTTAAACATTCCTGGGTTCAACATGACCTTGTAAGAGCTTTCTTTGCTACTCAATTCAAATGTTGATTTTCCTCACCTCATCTACAGTATCATCAAAGACTGCTTTTCTTTAGCTTTGATCAGGGAATTGGTTGAAACCAATTCTACTAGTTTATCCATAGTAGGTGTTACAGTGTTTTGACACCTCTCTTTGTAGGAGGACATCCAAATCTAGCAAAGAAGTCCCTGTAACTGGGGGAGGAAGGGGAAACAAAGTCTTAGTGACTCATTTACCCTTTGAGGGGTAGTTCCTTCTCAAACACTTAACTGGGATTTTCTTTAAAGGAGTTCATGAATGGGTATGTCAAGAATTTTTTAGTGGCAATGATATTTAAGTAGTGAACCCTATTTACATTAGATTAAGGCAGAGAGCAAATCTATAAGCTCATGTAATTTAATCATCTAGGTAAAGTCGGCTTTGCTGTCATCAAAACCCAATCCTTCTCCATCTGTCAACTTTGCTTTTCATTCTTGGGCAAGTCCTCCCCTTGTGGGGACAAGAGGGCTGCCAGCTTTTCCAGGTTTATGTGGCATCTTCTCAGCAACACCCACAAAAATTCCCCCAAATGCCCAAGGCCTGACTCTCATTGGCCGGAACTGGGTCATATGACCATCCTCAGTCAATCACTGTGGCCGGAGGGATGCTGTCATATACTTACATTGTATACAGTCATCTTAGACAGTGATGACTGGGATCATACAGACTTGGCAACTTACAGTCCAACTGCCTACTTAGTATCTCTTCCTGGCTGTCTCAGAAGCATTTTGAACACAACATCTCAAAAATTGAACTCATGGGCTCCCCCTCCCCATGTGCCACTTTCTTAGGGGAAACTTCCCTAACTTTCCTGAGTAGATGAAGTCTGCCCAGCAGAAGCCTTCAGAGTATCACGTACCTCCCTCTCAGCACTGGACACAAGTGCAAGCTTATGTTTGTATATTATTTTATTCATGTTTGTCTCCCTCACTGGTCTATAAGCCCCAAGATGGCAGGGATTGTCTTTTTTCCTCAATGTGACTTGAACACAGATATTCAATAAATATTTCATTGACTGTATTAGTATTTATCAATGTATAGCTATTTATCGAGAAATGTTTCCCACTGCTATAAAAATATTCCCTAAAAAAGGCAGTTTGCTGGTAAGAAATTAATCCAAAGTACAGCAGAACAGATGGGTTGTGGTGGATAGAAAGAGCTTGGTTACGAATATGTGCTCCTTGATGCCAACTGGTCTGCAACACACAGAGATCCTAATGGGAACTGAAAAGGCTCCCCTGAAAGATTTCATGAGCATGAAGGCTCTTGGAAGACACACAAGCTGAAAAAAACACATGTAACACTTTATGGGGGGAAGGTATAGCTCAAAGTGCTAGAGCACATGCTTAGCATGCACAAGGTCCTGGGTTCAATCCCCAGTACCTCCTCTAAAAAATTAATTAATTAATTAACCTTATTACCTTCCTCCCCACCCCCCCAAAGATGCATTTTATATATTTTTAATTGCATGTGCATGCATTTATGTAATATTTTATATTTCTGTTCAACATGAAAGCATATCTTTCTATTCAATTCTACATTTGGATTCCTCTAAAGTATGTGACATTACTATTTTTCTCTTAGGTTTTATATAGATTAAAAGGCTGTAATCTTTTCATTAAGTTTTCAAAGCTATTACATTTTTTATTAGCTGAACGATTCTTAAATTCTATAGTGTCTTACAATTTTCAAAATTTTCACACACATGATTTCATATAATCACATAATAACCCTTCTCTCCTAGCCCTGTATTGCCCCTCCCCCTTCCCTCTCCCCACTGGTAACCACTAGTTTGTCCACTATATCTGTG